ACATGAACACAAGTCTTATGCCTTATCTAAGATCAGCTCAAAACCTGTTGATGTTAAGTTTTTGCACAGGTTGTACACTACCCTTGTCTTGGCCATCTGCAGAGGGGTAAATTCAACTGAATAGTAGACATGGGAGGGCATGATTATCATCAAAGTAAATTCATTAGAAAATGGAGCCAAGACTTGTAGATTTATTTTGAAGAGTGTTTAGAACAGGTTCATCTGTGTAACTGGAATAATAATACAATTGTTTATTGCTTTCTAATAACATATGTTGAATCCTTCATACAGGGTAATGTTCAAGCCATTATACAAGATTTAAGACATATGATTTCAGTTCATATTAATAAGAATTGAGAACTGAAAAACGGCAGAACCCTACATGATGCTTTGAAAATATGTTCCCTGAGGTTCTGTGTAGAACAAAAGCAAAATCATTCAGAGGAATGACTAGAAAACTAGTTTGCCCCACACTACAGTGTACGAAGACAGAGAGAGTATCACAGTGGCTTGAATAAAGACTGAAGTACTAGTCTTTCTCTGCTCCCTCCTCATTTTTTCAGCTTTTATTATATATTTTGTGTTTTTGTATACTTAAGTCAGATACTGTAATGTAACTTAAATGTAGGGATAGTTTTTAGTGGCTGGATATGCAATGAATACAAAATAGCCATCTACACAATATGGAATTAATTCAGTGAGTCAGATGAAGACCTCAGAATAATAATGGTGACTCTACAAGTCACCTATGAAGTTATTCCTTCATAGGTGTCATTAATTCTCTCTCTGCAGATGCTTATTGCTATGTATGTTCCACTGTTTATACCTCAAGGAAGTAAAATAATAGTTCACTGTTATTTTTATTCTCTTAAGATGTCAAAGTTTAGCTCAGCTGCTGCTGTTTGAATGTAATAGTCTTGGTTTAAATTAATGCTAATTTATGATGTCACTGGCACTCTTTCAGTGGCTGTGTAATTGGGCTATAGAGAATTTTTTTTAAGTATTTTGGGAATTGTATGTACTGCATAGTTTTACAAACTGATAGAATGACTTCTATGCAGATATAATATTGCATTGAAATTAATTACTTAAGTAAAAATGTCACCAGTTATACAATAAAAGACCCACAAAACACCTTAAACACATGAAAAATAATAAGCATAATAATGCAAAATATACACGTATGACCTTTTACATTTTATAATAAATAATAATACCTTTTCATTCAAATTATCATTTATTTATAAGATTTTTACTAAAATCTTTATACAAGAGAAAAAGTTCCCCTTTTTATTTTGAGTCTTTTGCTTTGAAAATATAGGAGGACTGTTCATAATTACACAGTGTAATATTCTGGAGCCATTACTCATGACCTTTTAATAGTGAACAATGTACTCCAGAGCAGCCTGAACTTTTCCTTAATCACTCTCTCACACCTATCACTATATCCCAATTACACAGTCTAGATAGTCTATTAGAAATTTAAACAAAAAATTGGGTTGCCATACAGCAGGGGTGGACAAAATATGGCCCACAGGATGAATCCAGCCCACCAATTCATTGTATCTAGCCCACAGCTGGCCCCACTGCACTCTGCATGGGGCCAAGCCCCACCCACTCCTGCCCAGTGCAGCCCGCACCATGCTGGGGCTGGGGCCAGGGCCAGGGTGGTGCTGTTGGCAAGTGTGGGGCAAATGGAGGTGGAAGCACAGCACAAACTTCCCTGGGTGCTAGTAGGCATGACTTGGCCCCATGCAGAGTGCCACAAGGACAGCCACAGGCTGGATGGGAGGGAAGAATGAACCTGCACTATACCGCTAGGCAAACTCTGCTACATGCGCCCCATTTCCCCCACCCTCCCCCCATCCCTGGCCCACTACTGGGACCTAACACGCTTTAATTTCCCCCCCGCACTTTTAACCCACATCCTCCCCCTCTACACTTCCCCCTACTCCCATACACCCCCCCCCCCCCACCCAAAAACACAGGAAAAATTTTTTTTTCTTTCT